TACATACACGCGGTGTGTATGTGTTTGTGTGTGTATTATTTACACTCCATGTAAACAAGTATAAACACTAACAGAGATTTAAAGACCTTTTCCTCTAAGCGTTAGGGCATAGAACTCCGGCTGGACTCAGCTGGGGTGCCCCGAGTTGTGTGCTTGCAGGATCAGGCCCTATGCTAGTATTTAAGAAAATACTTTTTTATTAGTACTGGTTAAGGTTTTTCTATTTTTCACTTTTGCCAAAAATGTTTTGCACTTAAAATGTGATGTGTCACTTCATGGCAGTCCTTCTGTCTAAACAGTCATTGAGTAACTCACTTTGACGTAAGAATGATACACCGACAGCGCGCTCGCTCTTCGGGATGCTGATTTAAGAGCATGTTTCCTGTCACTTACGAGTGTGAATTTTCTGCCGTCTTCTAAGAAGTAGCAATACCTTCTCAAGAACGTTGTTCGCACTAACCTGTCGTGTCCTCACTTCTTTCTTTGTTCACGCTTCCAGCCGTTTCATAGATCTCCGGTCACCAGTGAGCCAGCTGCTCTGGTTATTTTGATCTTGCCGCGTAACGCGCTCTGGCTACGGTCACGCCAGTGCTTTTGGGTTACGTGTTCCGCTGAGCCCCTTCTGGCAGAGGTAGCCGGGGGTGTTCCAGCTCGCTCTTGCCTCAGATTCCGCCCCCGCGCCAGGGAGGCAGAGCCCGCTGCTGGGCTGTGCCTGAGGCGCCCCGGTTCACAGCCTCTTAAGTTAAACCAGCGCTGCGTCGACGCTCAAAGGCCGGGACGTGCAGAGGCGAGTGAGGCTGCGTAGGAGTCCTGTCCTGCTGGGCCGGGCGTGCGCCTTCCCCACCAGCCGAGAGAGAGGGGGGTTCTGTACGCTGCTGCTCTGGGGCACGCGGCAGAGCTCCTCTGCTCAGAGCCCTTCATTCCGCATTACAGCTCCAAGCAGCCCTGCGTCTTGGTTTCTTCTGGTTTTGCCCCAAGTCGATCCTGTAGCTTGACTTTGCTTTGTAAGGTGACCGCTGTGACACTAAGAAAGTGGATTTTAAAGGTGCATTAAAGCTTCATTGCTTTTCAGTTCGTATTTGTTGAAAGTGAAGATCTTTGGAGAGAAGCAACAACAAAAGGCACACGTAAGATGTGCTGACTTTGGCTCAGTGCTGCTGTTTTCAGTGCCCCATAAAGAAACCGCTACATTTTTAACATACAGTAGCATGGATGCCTACCTTTCTGTAGTACTGATTAATTTCGTGCCTTTTGTCTGCTTTCTTAATACAATAGCTTACACTTTATAGATATTACACATATATTTAGGTCAAAGCACTGCTTATATCTCTCTGCTCTTGTGCTTCCTGCATTTTGTAATATTTTTTTTTTTTGGTAGATTTTAAAATCTCCTGAGCAACTCAAAAGGCTGAACAGAAGTTTGTACAGAAGGAAACATGCCGTCGGGTGTTCATTTGGACACAATATCTGATAGATCTTTCCATTTGAACCTCAGATCCCTATTTCATGAAGGTGTGGCTCCTTTCCCTCCTAAATGCATTTTGTCTGCTTGTATGTACTTTTTTTGCATGTCAGAAAGACTCCTGTTCTAAATGATTTAAATCCTATTTTTTAAAACAAATGTGGACTGTATGAGCTTGGTTTTGTAACTGACACTTTTTTTTTTTTTTTAAATGAAAAAAACGTTATTTTTAGGAATAGCTGATGTTTTTGTGTTAACAAAACCAAAATGATGCTGTCATAGTAACCACCGAACTACTACCAAGTATCGTCAGGAAAATGTGTACTTTATCACCTGCAAGAATTAACTCTCTAGCAGATCCAGTCCTGCCCAAGAGGTCAGTCTGATAAGTCACTAGTCGTATTCATGCTGTTTGCGGTGTCATCACAATCAAAAACGCAGAATGAAACACGTGGGACACCCTCCCAGAACTTTGACTTTCACGCACCAAAGAACAAGCCACACACTCCCTAAAAATAGCCATTGGGAACCTCTCTCTGCCGGGCACGTGGGCCTGCGCTCCTGGAAGAGTAGACCTCTTTCAGCTTTGATGGTGTGACTGTCAAGGCTACAGAGATGCTGTAGCCACTCTTTTAAGGAGAAATTTGAATAATTTTATGCTTGTAATTTATTGAAGATTTTTTTCTGTCTGCATGGTTGGTTGTTCCTGCATGCCGAGAACATTCCACTTGTGCTCTGATCGGTGTTTTGTTTTGTTCCGATGCTGTGAAGAATCCCCTGATGCCATTACCGCTGTTTCTTTTCCAAAGTGACTCGGGAGAGGCAGACATAAAACTCGTCCTTTCTGAAAAGATCCCATCAGCGAGAGATTCCAGAACAAGATTCACAAGTGTCATTTTATTTTTCTGGTAGTTACATGTTCGGTATATTCCACGGGACTGAAAAGTAAATATTCATAAGCCTTATTCTGTAGGTTGTTCCGATAGCTGTCTTGGCCTCGCAAGTAAATATTTTCAAGTAGCCGATGTACACTCTGAATTGTAATGTAAAAACTTCCATGTACTTCAGTTTTTTTGTGCACACCTGTAGAAAGCCTATGCAACCTCTTTCTTTCTTAAATTAGAAATGTTCAGAAAGAAGATTTCTACCTTTATCATTTAAAAGATGCTCTGGCAGTCTCTTCTGATTTGCCTTCCTTTCATAATCTGTGAATTTAAAATGACAATGCTCATGAATAAAAGATTGGTTTCATTTAGTAGTGGGATGCCCTTTCTCTTTCCACTGAAGCATTAGTTAACTGGTACCAGTTACTCAGATGTCCCGGAGCGCTGTGCAACACTGGGGGCGCCTGTGAGCTGTCAGCACGGTGCCGACAGGAGTGAGTGTCAGCCGAGTCCTGGTGTGCTGGGGGTTTTTTTCCCGCTCCATTCATAGCACCAGACACGGCAGAGGCGAGGTTCTGTTGAAATGGGATGGCATTGCACAGGGCAGACAGGGCCGGGCAGCGCCACAGCTTTAGGGAAGGCGGGGGAACACGTGCCTTATTTTGACAAATAAAAAGGAAATCAGTTGCCGTGTTCCCTTGTTTCTGAAAATCACGTTTCATTTAGTCTTTGTCATTAACGGAGATTCTTGATTAGGTACCTCTCAAGATACAACTCTCAAATTATTGCAGCATTGGGACGCTTGCATAGGGAGGAGAAGCGTGCTTAGAGGCTTCGTGGATCCTGGTCAACATTCTTCAAGTGTTAGACAGCGTAGTTCTGGTTTATTTATTTTAAACATTCATGCACGGCCTTGGAAGCTCTCGTGCCAGAACACTGGTTTTATGCCAAACAGAAAACAATGCTGGCTGTAAATGGGACAGGAAAGGCTACCCCAGTCGTGTTCCTTGCGCTGCTTCACGGCCGCATCTTGGAGCCGTTCATACGTTTGGTTTAAAGATATTATTGAGTTTTAGTCATAGCCAAGTGTGACTTATTTCCAGATTTTGTTCATAGTGGGATTGATGTGTACAGCGGGCAGAGTCAAAGCATTTAACTGGTTTTTCCAAGAGTAAATCTATCACGGTATCTAACAACTAATGACTTTTCTCCCCCTCTGTTACCGAATTACTTCCGTAAGCCAAAATATTTCTTCTGGGATTACCAATGGTACTGTCTGCCCTCACTACTCTCGGCAGCGATGATTAAGCGCGATAGTGGCTTCTAAGGCACTTCCAGTTTCAGTTCCTTAGCAACTGAAGAGCAGAGCCTGGCTTAAGCGGTTTGTTGTTTTTTTTTCTTCAGATTTTGCTGTTTTGTGGCAGCTACGCTTCAAACTCTGAGCGAGTGGAACAACAGAAGGATGGCCATAGCTAAGGAAATAAACGTTTGAGCATGATGCAAGACGCTAGTATTCTTTCCTGGTCCTGGTGTGGTTCAGGTCTCTGAGAGACGAGGTGGAAGTTAGGTTAGCTGCGTAATGCTGGGATGCAGGTGGAGAACCAGGTAACCGACGTGGCATGCGGGCTCCTGAGGAACCAAGGAAGGAGATGCGATGCCTGCCCGGTCGTCTTTCTTTGTAACTTTTTCTCAGTGGCTGCCTTCCCGACTCCAACTTTACATTCCATTTGAATGCAGCACACCATGCGGGCTCCTGAGGAACCAAGGAAGGAGATGAGATGCCTGCCCGGTCATCTTTCTTTCTTTGTAACTTTTTCTCAGTGGCTACCTTCCCGATTCCAACTTTACATTCCATTTGAATGCAGCACATTGGCAGAAGCTTTGATGTCAAGTTAAACTTAAGAAAGCTCAGGTAAGTGGTAGGCAACTGTAGGCCCAGGCTGGCTAAGGTGCCTGTGGTTTGCTTATTTTCCTTCTGCATAGCTTTAAAAATGCTACACAAGCTGACAGATTCACTTAGTTCTGCTCTGCTAAAGAGAGCACTGTCAGCTAAGATGGCAAACAATCGGGCAGAGCTGTGAAGGTACCTGAGGCTGGGAGGGCAGCCTTTTATTTCCTTTTTTTAAAACACAGCCGGCTTACTGCCAGACCCCAGCCTGAGCACCAGCAGCAGCATCGCTTCTGCTGCCCTTCGGGTGTTCTCCCAGCTGTTGGAGCGCTTGTTTCTCGGCAGCGGTGAGGGGGCCGGATGCAGGCTGGCTTGGAAGAAGCAAGATCCTACAGATGACGCAATACATAATCACCCCTTCTGCTTGCGGGTAAGCAACTGTAACAGCTTGAGCTTCTCCAGCTGCTTGAAGGATTCACTGCAATGCGTGCGTGTGGAAAGGATGGCTGCTGCTCTCTGAAAACATTGCAGCCACCTTAATTTCATCACAGCAGAGGCCCTGCCTTCAGCTTAATAGATTTAAGCTGGAAGGATGTGAAGTAGCCGCTGTGGCTCCCTTACAGCAACTTCCTGAGGTCAGCAGCCTTACCTTACGGAGCTTGAGTGACTGACTCTAGGACTATAAGCCACACGTTACCAAGTAAACCACAACAAAACTGACACAACACCCTTAACACAAAACTTGAATTAACTTTATTTTCCCCTACAGTCAACAACTGGTCTGCATTGAGCTTGAAAGCAACAAAATAAATGAAATCTCCAAACGACAGGGGCCCAGAAATCCAGAATTAATTACCTTTGTGAAAATGTTGCAGCTGCAGTATTGGTCTGTGTAAACCATCGGAGTCAAAAATGAGTTCGTAAATCAAAAAAATATTCTACACCTTGGGAAAGAAGTCAGCAGTAACATTCTCACAGAACACTGTAAATTTACATTTTCTTCATGACAGGTACATACTATTCTGCATTTTACATCAAATTATTGATGCAAATTTTGTTTCTATAAAAAGTTACAACCTGTGGCAGGAAAACAAACTGCAAAACCCTTTCATTTTAATTAAAGAAGATTTTCAAGTCTGTATAAAGTTTTCCTATAGCTGGAAAGTGAACATGTTCAGTCTCCATTTGTATTTTAGTGCATTTAATCTGACAGTTTTCACCACTTAAAAAAAACCAAAAACCAAAACAAAACCAAAAACCAACCGTATAAAAGACAGACAAAGCAAATAGCACTATAGCAGGAATTTCTTCGCTTGATTTAAGCACTCTAAATAAAAATGCAGAGAAACAGATTTCCAGAAAAACTTCTACCCTCACAAGAAAGGCAGTGAGGGGCGGGGGGAGAGGTTTGCAAATCCTCTACCTCCAACAGCCACAGAAAGGGGGGGGTTGTATACCTGTCAACCTTTTTTTTTTTTTTTTTTTTCCCTTCCCCATTAAACAGGCTATACTTGTTTTACCAATGTAAACATTTACCTAAAATAGTTTAATTTCTGTTCTGAAGCACCAGCCACGACGTGGTGCTCAGCGGCACGTTACTATAGCATTCATTACTGTCGTTTCAGCTTTTTCAGGAGGATACAAATTTAGCCCTTGTATCTACGGTGTGCGAGGTTTGCCTTGTCTACCTTGTGAAACGACGGTGTAAGGCAGCAACGCGGCAATCCCCCAGTGAACAAAAGCAGCTTGCCCAATCAAAACTAGCACCCAATTAATCTCCCCTGCCATCTCATGTGAAAACGTGCAGCTTTGCGCCTTACACCCCCGATCAAACCCAGCCTGCAGCAAGAGTGAAAGGACATTGAAAAGAAACCACTGAAAAATAATCACGGGAGTAACTTATTTTGAAAGTTTAATTTTGGAGAGCTCCGCTTCCTCCTAAATTGTTGAAAACAAGTCATTTATAGATTTCACCATTCCAGTTTACACGTTGCTGCTATTCAGCTGAACGGTGTTTTCCAAAAAAAGATTGACAAGTATGCATGTGCCAAGGACCAAATTACAGGGTTCTTTCTTTGGTGCGGTCAGTCCAAATTCTCAACAGATTTGAAGGATAATATGTACCAATAAAAAAAAAAAAAAAAAAAATGCTGCTAGACTTGGATAGCAGCTCTGTCGTGCTTCACATTACAAATCTAAAACAGCTGTTCTCAATAAGCCAATATTTTTAATCAGACATTGCCTGAAAATTTTGTACAATAATCTGGACCAATGATGGTTCTGTACCCTCATGTTGCTGTGAAACATGACTTGAGCTAAAGGCAAAGACTGGTTATCTCAAGGACAACTGCTTCGTATTAGCAATCAGAACAGTGTATTTAAACTGTCTTCCTGTTGGGTCTCTTGCCTTTCTTTAAAATTAGTTTATTCTTAATGTAGCCACGCTTCCTTTTGGAGGTCTAAAAAGAAAAACAGAATAAAACGTATTAGTTAACGATTTAGTCTTGACCACGGTTTAATGATGTGCATTTCAATGCCTGATCTGTAGACTGATTTTAAAGAGCTTAAATGATCAACCCTCAACTAGGTACTATCCAGGTATTATTTTTAAAGTTGGGGGTGTTAATTTGTGCCCAACATTTGCTTTTGTACAAGACTTACTTCTGCAAGCCCCGTCTACCAGATCTGTAGAATCGTTTTCAAAGCTTGTGTGGAGGCAGAATTAAGCATTAACCAACATGACAAAGCTCTAATATGCCCAAGGAGCAGAAGTGTGGAGTGTTGGTTTTGTTTGGAAATACCTTCTTGCATCTTTTGCCCTGTTTGAATCTCTGAGGAGTTAGCAAGATGATAGATAGGAATATTTGCTCAAAGCAGCGTTTTTCAGAAGTCGGACAAAAACTGGATGATCACATTTTAGTCTTTAGTCCTCTGCTATTGGTCTGTTGGCTAGTTAGCGCTTTCTGCACGTGTGTCTTTTTATCAGCATATTTTAGATTTTTTTTTTTTTTAAGGTAGTAATAGGGGGAAGCACTAACGTTGGCCTCAGGTAATATTAACTTCAAAGTTGTATAAATACAGTTAGTTGGTGGCGGGCAGATCTGTACACTCAACGTGCCTGCCACAACAAATTAGACAGTAGCAGCTCCCACGGTTGCTGCACTTCCCTGCATTTACCAGCAGGCTCTATTACATCAGTTAAATATAAATCCTCTCTTTTTAATAACAAGAACAACAAGAATAATGATATTACTCTGAAGTGAGATAGACACAAACTAATATGTAATACTCGGACACGTTATATCTGAGCTTGAGCAATGCCATTCCTGAGGTGGAAGAGTGACAGGAGATGGACTGAATTTCCAGTAAGGAAGCAACTGCTGAAAACCTGTGGCTACGAAGGAGCCCTCAGAATGCATTTAAGAAATCCTCATTTAGGCACTTGCCCCGTGCTCTCTGCTGGTTCTCCAATTTCTTTATGGGAAGTAGAGCCTGTCTGTACTGCAAGAGCAGGTGATGGATAAGGATCTGCATCAACTTTCATCCTGTCTCTAGGCAGAGAACCGACACATCCACAGCTTAAGCGGGGTCAATACATCTATCATTAATAAATACAGCCTTGCTTGTCACTTAAGATCAAAAGTTACACTCTAAGTGTACGACAGGCACGGTGAAGCTTATAATTTCCTTTTTGGATAAGTCTTTCTTCAGTGACAACTCCCAAAGTTTTATGAACTTCCATCAAATCACAAAAATAAGCATCTGTACCCTCTACCCTCTAACATTCTTTACTTGTATTTCCACGACGCAGCGTAACTTTACAGCCTGTACTAACTTAAGTTCGTTACACATTTGTTTCTGACAGGGTTCTGGAATTCCTTTTGCAACATAGATTTGAACAGTTAGGAAACATGTGTTGTGAAGGAGGGGGCTGCTAAGATTGTCCCCAGCTCCCCTGGTAACAGATCTTTCTTAATAGGCTGACGTAGCACACCACAGCTAACCATGAAGATGACTTCAAACAGTAAGCAGACAGACACTAAAGTTCCGTCAACAAAAGTTTCATATTTAATTTATTTCATACAAAATTGCCATTTTTAAACTTCTAGGCATCACTACTTTCAAACAAAGTCAGAAAGCAACTTCCACATTATTTACTTAGTGAGCCATAGTTACTGAAACATGAATGGAGGTACTTTGGAGATTATACTTCCAGTTACATGAAGACTTAAGAGTTGTAACAGCCAGTGACACACTCTATTTCCAGTTAGCATTCTGCCTAAAAAAAATCTAGCCTTGTGTCTTCACATGCTTTTAAGTTAAGCAGACAGTAAATTAACAATTATTACCAGCAGGCAGGTCTGATATTGGACACTAACATGAACAGTATCCGTAACATTCTGGCTAGTGGAAATACATCATTCACCAGCTATGTGATTCACCGTTAAAAACAAACTGCCAGCTCCTGACCCCTTTCAGCTACTTCACTGGGAACCCACCTTCTTTGACAAATACTTCTGTTTCGGTACAATGTTGGTTACTCTGGGTTTATGATCCAATGTCTCTCTGTTGTCTAGTTGTTTCACCTTGTATATTCTAACAAGCCAGTGCTCTGAGGTGAAGGCTTCCTCCAGATGCTTAAATTTAATGTCTTTGTTGCCTATCTCAGCATTGCGCGTACGATCGAATCCTGGGGGTGTCCGAAAATCCAGCTATAAAAAGTAAAGTTGCATGTTAGTTTGAGGCAGAACCCAAGGCACCCATCACCGCAAACCGTGGTTATTTCCTACCACAAGGCAACGCTTTCAACTGGTCTAAGTCAAAGGACAGCACTTCCCTCGCGCTGGTTCTTGCTACACAGAAAAAAACCCTCTCAGTTCCTTTTTAAAACTGAGAAAGAGACAAATTCGTTCTCGCTCCTACAGGTGTCGCAGGAGACGGCACTTTGTGTCTCAACAGAAACACCACGTCTGCACTCAGAGGGGAAACTACGGAAGTGGAAGTCTGAGGTGCGGCAGCCTGCAGCGGCGTTTAGCACAGCTGCTCCCTTGTACTCCCTCTTCGGCAGTGCAATGATTTGCACTGTCATGGGTTTCCATACATAGGTCGTGTTGTTTATCAGTTAAATTTGACCCCTCCGCGTTACAAAGAAGATCCACCGGCATCCATTTTAGCTGAATAAAGGATTCTTGTGCTGACGCATCGGAAAGAAGGGCCCTTGGTGGCAGGGGGAAGAACGGGGTGGGGGGAGCAAACAAGGCCGATGATCCCAAGGGGGAGTGACCCCTCTCTGAGAATTACGCCCTTATCACCTAAGTGCCGTGTTGTTTAATACACTGATGTTTCTGGTCGTTTCTGACAGATATGAGGTAGCCAATTAACAGCTCCACTGCTGTGGCACTATTAAAAAAACAAACCTAAAGCTCTGCACAAGGTAATAGTTAATGCTTTAGCAAGGACAACGCATAATGGAATTAAGATGCTCGTCTGGGGCAATGTGAAGGACAGCAAAAAGCCAAGTACAAGCGTAGGTTAGCAGCAGAAGTGCTTTTTTCTAAAGGTTATATACTCTAGAGCATGCCTGGATGTGTTTTAATTTGTACAGCTGACTCTTACCTCCGATGCTGCTACTACAAGCAACACTCAATCTAAAAGATGGAAAATACATCAAAATAACATTTGTTTTCTCACATTTCAATTAAGATTCAGTAGAAGTTGTAGCACTAACCTGCATCTCTCCAAATCTGTAATAGGACATTTTATACATGAGGCAGTTCAGCAACGTTGGAGAACCTGCCTTGTCTACCCGGAATTCTCCCTGAGGGGTAAAGTAATCACTTTCCTTTAAAAACAGAAGAAGATACAGAGAGTCAATATAAACTAAACCCCTGTTTAAGGTCATTTCTCATTCCCTTCTCCACAAAAAAAAAAAAAAAACAAACCTTCATAAAGAATCTAAGCTGACTTTTACAGTTTAAAAGCTGATTTAAGCTAATCTTAAAACAGAAAATGATGGTGCTCATTAAAGTTACAAACTACCTGTTTGTAACCCAGACCCCAACGGGCCAATCTTCCTAAATCTGTATTATTGTGCTGGTACAAGTTTTGTCACTTCACAGTCAGCAGCTAGCGGAAAACTGATCTCAAAATGTACAAGTTAGTTGGGCATCTATCAAAATTATTCTTCAGAAAGGTGAAAAGCACTCTATTGTTAATATATGAGGTCTGCAGTGTTGCCATAAACTTTATGTGTGCACAGTGTTTAAATAAAAAACTTCTGCCATTTTCATCTCCAGGACACAGATGAAACTATGCACGCAGGCTGCTCCCTTAAGCCTGTGCTCAATACCTGGAAGTTTTTGTTAGGCTTAAGCAAATATTACTACAGACTTCTGCAATCTCCAAGATGTTTGATTAACTTAAACTCTACATAAGTCAATATTAACACTTGTCTCCTACTGTTACAGAGTTTGCAGAAATTTGTAATGCCAACCATTTAGACAGTCTGAACACTTCTTTTTTTAAAAGTATGATGGTGCATAGTGCTCAAAGAATGACAAAAGATACCCTGTACTTTTAGTATCATGCAAAGAAAGTGAAAAGCTTTTGAGGTTACTGACCTTTCAAAACCATAAATATTGAAAGAAACTGGGCTACAGGCCTCTGCACTCCTACTGTTCTAGGAAAACAACCCATAACACATTTTTCAAATAAAAGTGCAATAAGTGGAAGAGATCTCCCTCCACTGTAATGAGCGCTACCAGAAAAGCAACAACATAAAAGTTAAAAAAAAACCCAAAGCCAACACCATAGAGATGATTATACAGAAATACAGTATTCAGCCAAGAACGCTTCAGCTTTCCTCTGTACGTTTCCACTTACCCGGATATCTTTGGGATGTTCCCCCTCTGCTATTCTCACCATCCACAAGAACTTATTGATGTCGTCACCCGAGTAGCCAATCACACCACCAAAAATAATCAAAACATAATCCACATCCAGGCTTCTCATGATCTCGTACGCTGCCGACTCATTTGATGACATTGCCTTTCCCACCTGTATCGCAGCAAAAATATCTTAAACATTTGCAGAGGTGCCTATGGAACAGATCCACAGATCAAAGCCCAAACACACATACTTGCCGATCGCAGCCCCCGTTTTCATTCCAGGTAAGGAAAAGCCATTGTATCTATTCAGAAACTCAAAAGCCCAACATATACTGAAATATTTTCTCCTCTGTAAGAGCGGTGCTGCCCGTTGAAATGAGTGGGTTTGAGTATAAAATGTAGCAATAAGGGTTTCCCTATTGTGGCACTTTCACAGATTTTTCAAGTCATGGCCGTACTGCCAAAAACGTAGTGTTGCAGAAAATACCCAATTCCAAATTATTTTCAAAGCTTCAGACACAGCCCAAAGTGAATAAATTATTTGAAATGTTAGTAATTTCTGGTGGCTTTTTTTCCTCGAGCTTGTCCTTCGCTAATGAAGCAGCCATGCTGCATTGCGCTCAGCAGCAGGCAGGTACCCTCAGTGCTGAATTCAAGGTAAGTTTATGCAGAGAAAGTGTCAGAATAGAGACATCCTTGAGTTAAAAGCAGGACATAGTTTTGGCCTTGAAAAACTTTTTGAAGCTGTATCCAAGAACCTCCTCCATACTGGTCACTTCCCACACTTGGAAAATTCACGTCAGTCAGTAACTGGCATTCAGTTCAGGAGTTCTGTTTGCTGTTGGAGGTCGTGCACTTAAAGCATAATAAAGTATTGGTGTAGTAAAAAGGGAATAACTACAATATAAATAATATTTCATCCAAATTGGTAACATCCAGTTAAGAACATAATTAGAAAATGCTAAGCTTAGGCCACAATCTGTCAAAAAGACTGAGAACCTCAGCTGCTTGGCCACGATCCTAATCAATGTCAAGTTATTTGGCAGATTTCCATCCCTGTGCAGGAGGAAGTCAGCTGGCACGTGTCTCTGGGGCACGCCTCATTTAGCGCACAAGCTCAGGTATTCGCCGCAACGCACGTTTATTGCTCGGGTCCCCCTTTATGGAGCATTCATTCCGAAATGGAACCTGACAGCGCCAGCAGCCATACTGGAGAGAATTCTGTATTAAAAAGCCATCATTGCTAATTGCTGCCGTGTGTGTGGGTACTGTGCTTACGCAGTACAGCAGACTTCCAGGGTCTCCCTATTCACCTGATGCACCTTGTCCTGCAGGGATCTGCTGGTTTACATACAGGATCTGCACGTCTACCTCTTGTAGAAGAGGGAGGCACACAGAGCTATCAGAGCTGAATGGCCATCTAAAACACACCAATGCTGTCGGGTCAGCAACCAAAATAAGAGAAAAGTGCCTTAGTACATGGGAGGGCTTGTTGACTGATATTAGCACCAACGGCACAATTTCCCAAGCCTGCTTTTGGTTGATGTGAGTTCCCTGCCCCTGTCAAAAGCACGTACAAGTGATCCCCCCCCTTCCCCAATACACATTTTTTTGGGACTTCGTATGCTTTTGAACGCTGCTTGTCTGCAGATCTGGTCCAACTGCTGCACTAGATACTGACACAAGACAAGAAACTACCCTAACTATCCTACTGCTCAGGCCCTTCCCCCATTCTGCCCATGTAGCATGACCATAGATTTTTGGGGAAGAAACGTCCACTGATGTCATCACTGAGTAATGACGAGTCATTACACAGCACCTAGTATGACTGCAACCCAGCTACAATATAGAGCATTCTTTTGTTTCTGAAAAAAGTTTTAAGTTGCCCGAGCTGGTGCCCCTGTAACCCCAGGCAAGGCTAATACCCTGCTTTTAAGCACATGCACAAAGCTTAAACTTACTCTTCAGAAGGGAAAAAAATTAAATGTACAGATGTTTTGTCTAACTGCAAATTTGAGAGTTGCACCAAATCTGCAACACTTCCATTGCTATTCATAAACTTTCTCTAATTTCCAAGATGCCTGAAAATCTGTTGTATCACGTGGGCAGTTTTCACAGTGCCATTCAAAATCCAGTCAGCAAAGACACTCCTCAACTGAAACGATCCCTATTTGGACAGTTACATTAGATGTTTGGCGGTCCTCCCACCAAAGAAAAGAAAAGAAACTGAGGTAGAGGTGAAGTTTTGGAAACTCCAAGTAAATAAAACAAACTCCAAAAGCAAAATTGATCCCTTCTAGCCTCAAAACTCCTCACACTTGAGTTCTAATAAATGCAAAAAATATGTTCCTTCCACCTCTGTGTTTCCCACCCTATGGAAATTTCCTCAGTATCTATCACACTATCAATCAACGGACATTTACAGTTTCATACTGGACTGCAATGTAAACATTTTGGTGTTCCTACTCCACGGAAAACCACCACGCTTACCAGGGCTATGTGGCTGTTGTTCCAAGTATTGTTATCAACCAAGGTTGTCCGGTTAGCCATCCCTGCGATCTGATAACCATAGTCCCACCACGACATCACTCTGGCGTGCTCATCTGTGTTTTGTCTCAACCAGTAGTAGGCTTCTCTGAAGTCATCCAGGATATTCCGAGTGCTGGAAGACAGCGTTCATTTTATTCACGTTGGTACAAATGCTAGGAACAGATTAACTGCACCATGATAAATCTGGGCTCACAGATAAGGCTTTTCTTAATGCGGTCAACTCCCTTTGAGGGATTCGGTCACCAGCAGTCAGAAGTCTGAACCCACCAACAGCTGAATGGCCAGAAGCTTTTGAAGATGTGACTAAACGCATTTCCAGTCGAATATGTACTCATAAACAAATTTTCCCAATTGACTGAAAAACTGGATAGAATTATTTTTATGTATTTACATGAAGGATTTCATAAAGTGTTGTATCTTTTTGAAAATAGTACAAAGAATTTTTTATCCAGGTGGCGATTCTGCCTTCATATAACTGGAAGTGATTACAAGAAGGTACAGCAAATTGCTAATGCAAAGGAAGTAGAAAGGCTTTTGCCCTGTAATTCTTTTCAGACTTGCAGACCTTACTTACCCATCGTGGTTATAGGAAGCAAGGACAACGCTGGGGCTGGAGTATGCATTGCTTGTTACCCAGGTACAGTGGACAGCAAACATCATCAACAACATCAGCATCAGCATAGTAACAATGTTTTTGATATTAGGACCTAGTCCTTCTTCTGTTTTTTCCTGTTCAGATACATGTTTCCTCACCTTGCCTGCCTAAATAAACGCAAATACATCTGTTATGGCAACTTTTATCACCCTTGACAATGGAACCGATGCCTTTTCTTCACCGCATTCGCCCCCCATAAATGCTACAAGATACTATAAAGCTAGACCAAGTTGTAGCATAAATTAACTAAGCATGCACAAGAATGGATGATTCTCCTTGAAAGCCTCCTTCAGAAGAAAAAAACTACTATGTGAGGGTCAATGCACGACTTCCTTGGTTTGGCTCAGTATGATGATGCCCTTTTATAGGGGATGATCATCAACCTCTTTTTTAGGCAGGATGGAAAAGAGAAAAGCACAGATATTTGCTGTTAGGAAAAGGGAGAAACCTACGGCTCATGCATCGTCAGGGTCAGTACAACAAAGTCTAAGAGATTAAAAACCTAGTACCTAATTCTTCAGGAATAAGAGAATATGCAAGTTTATGTATAGAAATACTTTTCTATAAAATATATTATTCTTTAATTTCACCGTGTCTTAGAGGAAATACAAGAGGGAAACATGGAGACATTCAGTGACACAGGACTGCTAGAAGTAGTTAAGGAGAGAGAGCAACTCTCTGCCATCACTTCTATAGAAAGCTGGGTCAACACTGTACACTTCCTTTAGGTTAAAGGCTCACTACTGATCAAGCTAGAAGGAATCGCTTCTACACCGGCACGGATTTTTTTGGGGGGGGACATCAGTTACATCGTATTGGACAACATCAGTACTCGTTCTAAATTTAATTGCTAGTGATTCAGACCTCTAGTGGTATTTAAAATATTCTGACCAAAAGAAAAAAAAAAAAAAGTAACAATAAGCTGTCTTCTGACTTCTAACTTTTGCTCCCTTCCCTCACCTTATCATACAGGTTGCCAGGGTTCCTTTTGTCATCCTCATCACTGCTGTCCTCTATTGGTGGATTTTCCCTCTTCATATCATCACCCAAATAACGCTCAAAGACATTGGAGAAAGCAATTGCAGACAGCATACAGACCACGGGAGTCAAAGTGAGCATCAGACGAACCATCACACCAGCAAAGTAAACAGCGCTGATTGCATACAGAGCAACTGCAAAGAAACAAATCTACTGATGACATTTAGAAAATAACACTCGCTCTGACTGCACACGTACATGCTCTTCCATAAAACTGCTTCTGGAATTGGGTTGAGCATCTGTGTGTATAAAGACTTGAGTATGCATCTTGCATTTCATTGCTTTTTAATTTATAGAGATAGAGTTCAATTAACGTTTATCCCTTTTAAGCCTCAAACCCTTCCTGAAGTTCATCTTGACAACTGTTAAGAATAACACAAACCCATTTTCATATTCATTAATAATGTGTCAGGAGATACATTATTAGTGAAATTTAGTATCACACACCAAAAAATACTACCGGAATAATAGGTAGTTTCATTTGATTAAAAAGGCCAAACAGCCCTAGACCAAACAAGTTATTGAAACTGAAAAAGCAAAAGGAAGTGTTAGTATTTCACGTAAATATCAAATTTTAATTTAAGTTAGAGATATCTGTGGACAAATTGGGGGCTTGTCTACATTGTAATTCCGTACAGACAAATAAAATGATACTGCGAGCCCTACTCTGAAGCCAGTTTTCTTGAACAATATTATCTCTGCTCCCGCTCCCGCTCCCTCCTTCCCCCCCCAACAAAACAATATTTTCAGGATAGTAAGGAACATTCAGAACACTTTTCTTATAAGGAAAAAACCCAAGCAAACCTGTATACCCTGGTTAGGAACATTGATTGTTCAAGTAATAGTGGTTATTCCTGGTCTGCTACAGTTCAAAAATACACTTGTGAAATATCTGCCATGGAAATCATGAAGGGACACCAATTTATCAGATTACATTACATAAATATTTTCTACTTTTTAGCGAAGCAGTATGGCTCTCCATTCTCGCTCATAGGTCTCTCTATGCTGACTTAAATGGATGATGCAGCAGTAGGAGGCTGAAAGCGAGTTGCCCAGCACTGGTCTTGACAAGGACTGAATGTACGCCACAGGGCACAGAATACCCCAGAGTCATTGGATTTAACACACTAGATGTTCCCACTTGCCCACACACCTCTTAGGTAATCCTAGGAGGCAGCTATATTGGTGTGGAGCCTCCTGTCCCAGTAAAAGCCCAAGACCTGAGTGATCTACTCCTCCATATGGGCTACAATTTCAAATTACATCCTTACAAGCCTCATTCATAATCTTTAAAGTCTGCTTTCACAGTGCAGTTTGGTACAAATAAACAATGTGTTGTCACAGACATAGGAAGACCTCACACCTCCAGTTAGGCTCGTGTCTTATCTAGCACTTGTTCCATAGCAAGTGATTCTGTTCACTAAAATAGCAGAAAATCTGGAAGAAAAGGCATTTTGAATCATCGTCTGTGATGGGATGAGTGCCAGCCGCCCAGGGATGGGTTGGTTGCCTTGCAGCCTGCGTGGGGAAGGGCCCTTCCCTTTGCACCAAGCTGCTCATCTGGCTGAACCGTACCATGGAACTGTACCCCAACGCACGGTTTGCAAGATCAGCATGTGGAAGAGCATGCAACTCCAGCTGCAGAACAGAACCATACTGACAAATATTCCGATCCTGCCTCTTGGGACGACACGCCATCACCATCTCACCAATCCCTGCATTTTTATAAATGTTTTTAAATATTGCTGGGTGCAGGCAACTTGTAATCATCAGCTTTAAACACATCACTTTTAATCCTTTTTTAGAACAAGCCATACACTAGCTCTGAGCAAACAAAACCAAAATGGAATCAAGTTGAAGACAAGATTTTTCAAAACAATTTTAAAATATTTTCTCTTACCAAAGACTCTTTCGTCATTGATGTTTTTGATACAGAACCACAGCCCTGCTGGGAAAGTACACACGAGAATATGCAGATCAAAAAAGAAGGAAACCCATGTTGTAGGCTGATGCTCAGACACAGAGGCAATGATCGGGATGTGAATTTTCGCATACCTTTTTTAAAAAAAATTCAGTTCAAATTATTTTGAAAAGATAAAATTATTAAAACTTGTAAACATTAGGAATTCTGAAATTCATTTCAAATTAAAGTGGCAAGTGCTCTATTCAGCAGAAATCTGATGAAACTTTTATACCAAAAAAGTCCCCAGGTCTTACTGTATTTAGGAAGTATTGGGTGTATAGTTATTTAAAACACCAATATAAAGGATTATTTCCATACTAATTAAAAGAATGAAAAATTACGGAAGTTTTATTATGGTTAAATATGAAGCCAAATTCACCTAAATGAAAACACACAGCTATGGAAGCCCCATCATTACATTTTGAAGAGATAACCATCTCCTAGATTTTTAACACTGTATTTCAAAAACTCTCCTCTACACAGAATACCTTCCTTTTCTTAGTACAGGAAGCTACAGTATTAAATACCAGACCAGTTACTGGTGGTCCCACATTCTTTTAGATGCTGAGAATATCAGGCTTTGTCTACACTTGGAAATACATCTCAACTAAACAACATGTCAAACACTCAGTGCAGACAAGGACAAAACTGTGTCCTACATTTAACAGACCTAATCTGTTCTATACAGACCTAATCTGGGGTGCTACATGACCGAATAGTGAGGTATCAAACATATGTCCTTTTCTTCACTGAGATCTCATTCTCATTCAAAACTGCATTGTGTGTTTTAACACAATATGATTTTCTAATGTAGACAAGCCCTCAAAAGTTTACTGCTTTGTATATATATAGAGACCACTTCATTTACAGTCAAAGAACAATATCTATATGTTCTTCAAATAGATCTGAGGCTTCTTTACTGACATCTATTCTACTAGATTTATTACAGAGTTGGTACAGGATCCTGTATGAGCTGGACTTTGGAGCCTGAAAAAAACCTGAACTGCAAAAGTTTGAAGTTCTCCTATCCCTGCTTTTGATCTTAAAAAAATCTACCAATTGAATTTCATCTTAAATACATTTATCTGAGAAAAACTATCTTCAGCTTTATTCTTCTTCTCCTAGCTGGCTGAAGAATCCAACATTGGATTTTTAAAGACTAACTGAACCAAAAGATTAACTAGCACGGTCTTTTTAACCGCGAAAACACACATGAGTAAACCAGAATTGTTCAGAGTAGACATCTGTATACACAAAACAGATGTATAAACATAATTAACAGGCAACATGCAAGATCATATGTGCAACATCTTTGTGATTTCATGAAATGTTGCACAATGAAAATAGTGTAAGTTTACGGCTCTTAGTAATTTTTAAATGTGTCCTCAAGTGTTGGTACAGCTTTTGGTTATTTTACGCTGAGAAGCACTACAATTTCATATAGAAAAACATACCATTACATATTCAAAGACTTCCAAAGAAGCAAGAAATTTAATAGACAAATTAGTGAAATGATTGCAAAGATCATGAAACAGTTACTATAAATGCTCTCTTTAGATAACTGATTGAAGCCCGCTATATTCTCCCTGACTGAAATAGTAAATGGATTTGCGGATGAGGAGAGCAAAAGATTATTAGTTTTCAGTAGAATGCTATTGATATCTAAATCCTTATATCCTTTATCCTTACTTACCCAGTGTCCCACAGTGAATAAAACCTGCCGCTCCAAGGAGCAATATAACCTGAAAAATAGAAGGGGAAAAAACCTCTTTTGCTGCCCAGGTATTTAAATGCAATAATTTTTCTACTGCCTCAAATTAATAGCAAAAAACCAAAGAAATGTCATTAAAACTTGTAATATATGTGAACCAGACCTACTGCATCAGGCAGGCTGGAAAATCTATCAACCGTGAAGCTAGTTTTAGAAGAACACACTCTTACAGGATCCCATTGTACTCATGGAGTATCAGGACACCCCACCCCCACCCCACCCCCAAAAGTCAAAAGCAAGGTAATAATGAACAAAATATTTCTCAAAGATCGAGAGACAGCAACCTATGCTCTGTAAAGAAGTATAAGAAAACATAATTGATAAGGAAGTATTTATTTTTTCTGAAATGCCTGAGCAGGAAACTGGGAACAATCTATAGCCAAAATACTAATACTCAATGAAACACTGGTTTCCTATTGTTTCTCTACTGATGGATGTAAATGGAATACAAAAGCTGCTACCAGACATGCTGATAAGCTTTACATATTATTTTTTTAATAAAGCCTTTAGATACTGGTATAACATAAGATGAAAAGAAACGGTATCATTATCAGATGAAAGATAACAAATATTAATTAGTTATTAGTAAAATTCTTCTTAAATTTTACTTCCACTTTCCTCGCAACTGTTTCAGCTCCCTCTTGAAGACAGACAAGCTGAAATAAGAGAAAGTTAAATCCTTTTATTTATTAATGCATGACACAATAAGTCTTCTCTCTATCTGATATTTAAAATCAGGATAATCTGACTGAAGGTTTTTGTTTAATATCTAGTTTAGACATTTGAATATTGTGGTTAATATTCTATGACAAGACATATTTTTCCCTTCAGTCTTCAGATGCAAAGCTTGCTCCCAAACCACTGCACGCACAAGAAGGAGGAGCTGCCAGCAGATGAGGAACTACCCGTTATGGTCTTCTTTAGATGCACTCAAAACATGAGATCAGATGGCATTCACCTGAGGGTGCTGAAAGAGTTGGCCAATATGAGAGCTACCCACCATCTTCACCAGGGTGATAAGGGAGGCCCCCCGTGCCTGGAAAATGGCAACTGCTACACCTCTAGGAAAGGCAAGAAGGAATATGCAGGAAATCACAGGCCAGTAACCTGAGTCCCTGAAAAGATCATGGAGCACAGCCTCCTGAAATACATTATTAAGTGCTTTTTTTGAAGCATTTTCCTTGTTTCTCATTTATAAGCTGAAGAAGAATGGGCTGGACAAACAGACCATTTGATGGGTTGAAAACTGGCTGTCCTGATAAGTTCAAAGTAGTACTCAGTGGATCGGGGTCCAGCTGGTGGCTAGTAAAAAGTAAAAGATATCCCAGAGGCCAAAACAGTGAACTGCGCTAAACTGAAAAGAGTGGCTGACGTGCCTTATGGCAGGCAGGACTTCAATCTAGAACCTCAAACCCCTTCTTCCAGGTGCTGCACCTGGGATACGGGGTCCAGATGTGGGCTCCCTTCTGCAAGAGGACTATTAAGAAAATAGAGAGGGATCAGAGTTCTGTGAGATGGTCAGGAGCCCAGATCGCACAGCATGCCAGAAGCTGAGAGAATGAGGTTTGCTCCATCTGGTGAGGCAGCGATACCGGTCAGTGAATTACAGAAGTTGAAATCAACACTTCCTAAAACCTGCAACAGAAGACATATTTTGCTGCACACTGAGATTAGAGGCTGAATTTTGTTTTGATATGCCAGTCTGAAAATTTTTGCTAAGCATTAGTAGGACCTGCTCATATGTACTGAAAAGCAAATGATAAACCATCGATGTAGAAGACTTTCAAACAAATATAGATGCTAAGTATTCTTTTGGAATAACAGTATCATAATTAACCAAAAAAAGTTATTAAACAGGCTGAAGTGTTAAACAACTGAAACAAAAAAAATTACACCAGAAACATTGCTAAAAGAAGTAAAAGGAAGAAGACAGTTAAAATAACAATATAGATGCTAAGTATTCTTTTGGAATAACGGTATCATAATTAACAAAAAAAGTTATTAAACAGGCTGAAGTGTTAAACAACTGAAACAAAAAAAATTACACCAGAAACATTGCTAAAAGAAGTAAAAGGAAGAAGACAGTTAAAATAACAAGTTATGTCTCAGGAAAGTGTTTTTTTTTTTTTCCCCAAAATAAAACTCTGACAAAACAGAACTGATTTTGAGGTATAATACAATGATGATGCAATTGAAACCAAGCAGAAGTCAATTTTTGCATGGGTAACATGCATTTAGCTAGGAAAATAAGATTGCTTTTTCTTCATCAGGGGGAAGAAAGTATGGTGTTAGATCACCAAGGAACATATCACTGGATCAGAAGATGGCAGTGAGGCATCTGGGAATGGCAACCAAGCAAAGACAAGCTTGTTTTTGTGATATTGGGTAGAACTGCCTTGAAGACTGAAGGCTGAACCACAGAAGTAAAACAGAACTTACAGATTAATTCCAGTCATACGGAAATCTGATTCATGTATTTCAGAAAGTAAGCGATCTGACCTTGACCTATCAATTCTATTCAGAATAGATTAGCTATACGTATCTTCATAATATGTTTTGGCTATAGTTACGTTCCTCATCCTCTCACATCATTATGTGGATTGTGGATAAACCCAGAATACTGGAATGATGCTACAAAGTTTTTTTCTGCAGCCCAGAAAGCACAGTGAATTCCAAAACACAGAAACATAGAGTAGCATGGGCACTGGTTTGCTGTGGCATTGCCACACCAACTTTAGACTAAACCAAATGCTGATCATCTGGTTTACCTGCTCAGAAGGTAACTACTTTCACGTTTATTTACCTGTGTATGTCAAATAGATGACACTCAGGAATACAATACCAGCAGCTAGTGAGACACCCAAGAAGAACAATGTCTGAAATTCTTGCTTTGTTAATCTGTCTCTCAGATACTGCAAAAACGCATATGCCTGCAGCAGCGCAAAAACACCTAAAGAAAGAGGAAAGTTTTTGTTTAAATGCTCAAAAGCAGTAACAGCTGTTAAAGTAATTGGCATACTTTGGCTATATTTGCATTAGAAAAATAAATGTAAGGTACACCCGTACATCGAAAAACTAGTATAAAATCACTTTCTGACAAACAGCCTTTAATACTTGAAAGGAATGATACTTTCTTGCAATGACAGAAACTTGCAATGAGAGAAAATACTCTACAAAACATTCTTTGCTTATTATATCTAGAGCTCCGATACCCACCACCTCTTTGCTCCCAAATTAAATTGGGAAAACTAGATTCTATTGATTATAACAAAACCACAGGTTAACATACCTAGACCTGGTGAAAAATTAAGACACAGACCCCAGGCAACAGACAAACAAGGCTAATATAGAAATAGATGGAAATTAAGCTACTGAACACAACAGGAGGATTTAATGAAAGAAAACACAACACCAAAACCCAAGCGTTAGGCGATACAGAGAACTGAATTGTATAAAGCCAGTGCTGAAATGTCAGAATTCACTGGGTAAGCACCCCACACCCTCAAGAAGGCCATTCAGAGTTTAACGTTAAACCAGAACTTGGACACGATTTTTCTGTTGTTACTCATTTCAATGCATATAATCAGATCAATCCAATGATTAGTCCATTCAAAAGTGAAAATTCACTGGTAGCTGGCAGAGGAAGAAAGAAGAACTCAAGTGTGTGGTGGTTCTTCAATTTAACAATGAAATTGAGGTGCACAATGTTGAAATTCACTAGTTCTGAACTCCTAGAGAGAGACACAAACTCTGTTCACTAAATAAATGTAACATTCTTCAGATGCAAAATGTGGGTTGAAAAATCTTTACTCTTTCCATTATATTCAGATTGATGAAAAAAATCTCCATTTTTTAAAGCATTTTTCTGGTAAATTTTAATGATATTACAATTGCTGTCCCAAGTACATTTTGATAAGTGACTTCTGACACATAATAAAAACCCAGAGGAATATAACAAACTAAATTATATCACACAAACAGTGTATGCCATTAAACATAAACCCATGAGACTTAGTAGAGGCTACTGCTGTCAAGATACCAAGATGTCTGAATGTTAACAACTATTGAAAAATCAACTTACTTTAAAGAAATAAAAAGAATCGAACAAGACTGAAATCCATTATTTAAAAATCAGCCTCCCGATTAGTAATTTAAGTAATTTGCATTTAACCCACTTCAAAAAATTACAGAAGGCTATCAACTCTAAAACCAAATTGCTCAGTAAAAACTGTGTTTACCAATAAGGATTGTTTTAATCGTACAATGCTTGAAGGCAACATTATATTGCAAAACAGTAGAGATTATAAACGCGTAAAATAAGCGCTTGTCAGAATGTGTAAGTGATCCAGTGTTATGGAGGCGTTTTACCTCCATTAACTCACATAAAGAAGGATAATGTGTCAACTGGAAAGAAAACTTCCCTACAGACACTAAATTGTACCTCTTTTTCTTTTAACAATTTGGTTTGTTAGTATGTGTTCTGTCTAATACAAGGAAACAAAGCCGCAAGGGTTTGAGGTTTTCTTGTGCTAAGCAGGCTGTTTGGAAGCAGACATTTAATTTTCTTACCTGCAGCTGCCATGTGTTCACTTGTTCTAATTGGCTGAAATCCCACAAAAGGTATCTGCATCGATAATATTAACCCCACAATGTAGAAAGTGCTATATGCTAGGAAAAAAAAAAAGAGGCAGGAGCGGGGAGGAAGAGAAAGGTGAGAAGAAAATGAATACACACATTTCAAAAAGCATTGGGTTCCATAGCAGAGTCCATCCTCCCCCAACTTCAGTGACACTGAAACAGAACTGTATCATTCTAAATATTTCGGCCATCCTAATTACTTTTTCCTCTTTTGACTAGAATAAACCTGCTTATTGCTACTTCCTCTAAAATTAGATGAAAGGTATTGTTCCTAATTGTTGTTTCTCCTCCTAAACCATCTACCTAAGACACTCTAGCCTGGAAACAGTTTTCCCTTCCCATTTTGTTTTCACAGGTCATGAGTGGGGGAAGAGCTCTCAGATAACAAGTGACAAAAGAAGCTTTCTGTACGAGGAGAAATTGAAGGGACAAGAGCTCAAAGAAGCAAAATATTTAAGTGTTTACTACCTATGTGGAAAATGGACAGAGGTACGCCTGTTCTTTTTTTAATGCAAGAGCAGAGGCATGCCAAGAAACTGAAAAGCAACAGAATTAAAAGCTAATATTAAGCACATGTATTAATAGATGTATATCAACCATGGGGACTCATAACCCCCCAGAAAGCAGAGGCCAAGAACACAATATATAATATTAATATTATTATTAATAATAATAATTATTATTATGTATGACTGAAGTTTCATATACTTTATTTTGACAGGGTTTTGGTCCTCAGTTTTCCAGGGTGAAGAAGAGGTGGGAGGGGAAGAGAAAAATACCAACTCTGAACAGCCACAAGTCTGATTACATTTGAAGTAACCAGCCAACTTGAAGCCCAAAAGAAGTTTTGTTCCTTCAGTGGCAAACAGCAATAATCCGCCTCCCAGGTTTTTAAACACTCCTACAAACCATAAACCACTGTCTTTGGTACGGCCTCGACCTTATGAAGAGATCCCTGTACTCATACTATTCTTTAGTAACCTCCATGAGAACAGGTTGGGGAGCGCATCACCTACCAGTGGTATCATTTCCATAGCACCTGCCTGGTCTCACTGGGTACGCTCACTGGTACGCTCCCAGGGTACCACATGCTTTCCAAAAGTCACAGAACTGACTGCGATGATACTTCCAACCACTTGCTGTCTTCTCTGGTGTATTCTTTCAAGCACCTGCATTGCACTGCTTGGCCTAGCTACTGATCTATTCTCTCTTAATGTCACTGAAATACATTTTTGCTGTAGGAAGCTCAATTTTTGAGGAATTCACTACAACATAAATCACTTATTGTACCATGAAAGTGTTACAACACTGCCATCCTGTGGAAGTTCAATGATTGGCATAAATCACTACATTTCACATTTGTTAGACCATTGTAAATCATAATTTTTAAGCCTAGCCCTGCAACTTCTTAACAAGAAGTTAGTTTTGGTTCCTGCAAGCTATCCTCATGGTTATAACTTCAGCTAGGTGAAGAACAAATACATTCTGATCTACTGTGGATAAACTCATTTTACAAACAATTTCAGTTGCTGTACACTGCACAAACACAGGAAAACTCCGGAGTACGATCAAATACTGGACCATGTACCTTCAATTAATGGATTATAATCACCAGAAATAAACACTAATTATCTAAAGTTTTAAAATACTGAAGTAGTTGATATAAATATATGCCCGCTTGCTATTTGAATTATAAAATCCAATACATAGTACAAGGAATTATTGAAATTAAGTTTTAAATTCTGGAAGATCCTTACGTGGTTTTGTTATTAAATATTTTGAAAATTATACAGAACTTAAAAATTGTACCGGGGGGAAAAAAAAATTCAGACTGAAATGAAAATTTCCAAGTCTCTAAATTGTGCAAGCATGACAAATCTATATTGGTACCTTTCCAAATATAAAACCATTTACTTTTAAACATATGATAAACTGCAAGAGAAACTACAAGTACAATAATAGAAAATAATATCAATGGTTCCTGTATCTGAATAAAGGGGTTTTTACCTGTACAAGTGCTGCTAATACACTGGAATCATAAGCGCTTGTTCTTAATGACTAAGCTAGTAAGATGTGAACGAAAGATACAGACCACCGTCAAGACAAAAAAAGAAAAGCACAGCTTAAGCTTTCAGATGTAGGTAGTGTGATCACCACTGACGCCAACTGGGTCAGAAGTTATCTGGCTGATCCACTTATCTGCCTGCAAGTCATAAAATATTTTAAAATTGGCAAAAAATTAATGTTCTGGGAAATTTTTACTCATTAAATGACTCTAAATTACACTGCCAGACATATCAGATTGGGTCCCATTAACCTTTTCTACGGTGTACGAAGACGCCTATGAAAAATACATACAAGGAAGCCATCACTATTTTTAAAAACTTGGTGCTACCAATTATTGTTCTCTACATTTATGTTAGATCAAACGTTCATCCATTACAAAAGTTAGGTTCGTGCTAGTTTATTTTAAACATAAGCAACTGATCTAGAAATTAAGCCCCCACAAATCTTGGTAATAGTAAAAAGGATGCAGATCTTACTAGCTACTGTCAGCTGAAAACAGCTTACAAAAGTTTTAGCTGCACATTGGTGGTTTGGTTTTTTTTTTTTTGAGAACGATGAGACTGCTGCAGGCACACTAGCAACTGCGTATCACAGAAACTCCAAAAATATCTTTATTCTCCCTACTTCAATGAGCTTTTATAATCTCTTGTCCCCATCTGAATGGTTTGGAAACGAAGCACACTTTAATTTCCTTCTAGAAGTGCTTAAACATTCTTACCTGTTTTACAAAAACATCCTGTTAAACAAACCTAGAAATCACATACTAATGAGAGACGTACAGACTTTTCTGGGCGTAAGGCTTCCCACGAAAGCTTAAATTAAGCCGGCACATGCAATGAAACAGCAAAGCAGCAATCACATTTTTATTCTGACAACTCTGCTGAAGTTCATCTCCCTTACAGCTGAAGGGCAGTAACATCTGAAAACACCGTAGCTATTTGCAAAACAAACGTCTGCCGAAACCTTTACTTCATATGAACCTGCAGTACTATTTTCCCCAGACGAGTTCAAAGACTAGTTCATTGAAAGCTGAAAAAGCGAGAGCACTTATTCTTTATTGTTTCTGGTTACCACATCGCTTCAGGATTTTATAATTAGTAGCTTTAATTTTCTCTTGCCTAACTCATAGAAATTGGAAAATGAAAATATTCAGTAAGACAATTTTAAAAGCAAAACAAAATAAATTACTTTCCCCTTAAGTTATGAAGAAGTAGTTAATGAAGAAGTTAAGTAATACTAACATTAGAAATTAAAAGGGGGGGTTAGAGCTTTTTTTTTTCTCTTTTTTAAAAAGATTTTCTGTTTCTGAATTACATAAATAGATTAATAAAGAAGCATGAAACCAATATTTATAGTTTTGGTAACAAAAATATAAAACTGAACTTGAATAAATTGAGTAAATATTATCGTATTTAATGATTCAAATATATATGTAAATATAGTAATTTCTCTAGCAGGCACTAAAAAAACCCATTACAATAATTAAAAATACAAAGATAAAACAGTATTAAAATCAGTAACAAAAATACATCTACAAATACGAAACATCCTGCAATATTATACTTCAACAAACTACCTATTGTGAAGATTTCACATTAGGGAGTAAAAAATGTGCCAGCTAACTTATAAATCTTTGAATACCTGAATTGCTTATTATTTATTTCATTCACATACCTACACCATGGCCAACTGATTTAACTGGTAAAGTCTCTGTAAAAAGAGTTTCCAGAGTATTTAAAATGGTGGGCAAATCAATTAAAAAGTTAGTCTCTAGATCACTACAGATCACTATTCACATATTCCTGAAACTGGAAGGAAGGCTGACCCATTAACCCAATAAAATATTAAGGATTCACGTGGAGTGGACAGGCTCCTACACTACTTTTTAGTCTAGGTTATATAAAATATACATGGCTGCTGAAAATTCCCTATGTCTTTTCTCATAAATGTCACAATATACTGTACGTTTGCATAATTTCTGCTGTACAACTTTTTAAAGATAGCAGTTGTTTAATGTAATAGGAAAAGACAAAAAATATGAAACATCATTACAGATACACACACATATATATATAAAAATACATTAAAAGGATTCTGCAAATATTAAATCATCCAGTTTTTTTTTTTTCAAGTGCACTAGAAAGGAAAAAATTAGTTAGCAGCTACATATATGAAATTTTGAAAGTGTATTTTTTAACTCCTTATTTCCATGTTGTAGAAGATAACCGACTATAATCAGTAATCAAATTAATAAAATGCAACCCAGTATGCAATTACTTAATTCCCACTTGATAAAAAACACATCAGTATAATTAATTTCATATCTCATGATTCAGCATTTGAGAATGACTGTTGAATGAACAAAACTTACCGATGTAGACCCTCCTGCTGTATCTCTGCATCAGCAACAGAACAAACACATGCAGTGGAATAAGGTTGATGATGAAAACATAACCACCCCATGCAGAGACCTATGACAAATGGAATAGGAAATTAGATCCGAAAATATCTGCAAATTCTTAGGATAGCCAATGCTGGATTTATACATCCTAATGGTCTAACAAGGAAACACAAACCCCACCTAGACAAGCAGTCAGAACTACTGGTAATACCACCAGAATCTTTCTCAATATTTATTACCAACAAAACCCACACATACCGAAAGATTTTTGAAATGGGCTGGTGGATTTTTAATGCTATCCTTCCTGTATCTCCTCTTCCTCCCAAGCTAATCTGGTCACGCTGGTAAACAAGAATGTGATGCTGGGGGCTTTTTCCCACGGTGAAGGCTGCAGCAAAAGGCAGCAGTAGAAGTCCCATGTAGGATCCCAAATTTTCCTTTGACGTACAAATTTAGCACCGTGCTCTGCACTTTCTGGTGGGGACAGGGAACAGTATCTCCAGCCAGAGAGGAGAACAGGAGCAAGTTACACCTCCAGGAGCAGAACTTCTGGAGTAGAGCAGCCAATGCAGGTTGCAGTGTCAGGAAAGAAACAAAGGAAGGGGGTGGATGCACAGGGAAGCAGGGCTGAAATGGTGTACAACAACATCACAGATAATGCGAACCTGTAGTAACAGCAGCCCTTGAGAAGCACTGGTATGACTTACTTATAACTGAAACACTACAGTGCTAACAGTATATCGCCGATTGCTGGTTTAGATAAAGATTTAATGAGCCATCATTACAATGTGTTATCTAAATTTCTAACATATTTAGAAGGGCTACTGTTGACTAGACAATCTGTATTTTAACACATGTCCTCTTGTCAAATTACAATCTAGACTTCTCCCATATGTACCATGCCTACCCTAGATTTTCATTTTTAGAATGCACTAGCTAATGTGGTTTGTACTTTAGGGCTCAGATTCATGTAGGTATTTTTAAAGCCTGAGAATCCAGAAAGAAACCTAAGTGACTATGTTCTATAGAACAGATTCTAAAATAAGGATGAGGCCAAGTACCGGTTTTTCATACTAATACTATAAAACAGCGTTTCAAAATTTGGGGTAACCGATTCAGACAACATGAAACAAGCAGAATAGAAATCTTCTAAATTTTCTAGAAACTCATTTCAGATTGCCAAATTACTAGCATGCGGTATCATGGTTTACACAGGCAAGTTTATCTATTGAGAGAAAATATTATAGGAAGACAGGTAAGACAGAATAGAATGAGAACAAATGTGCAATTAGGACACTGTCGTATTTAGGGAAAGGTTTGAATGAAGCAGGCAGCAGATAGTTTGTATGGACCGGAGACCTGCATCTCTAATTATCAAAATATTAAGCCAAATCTAAGCGCTGAAGATTGTACTGAACTGAAGATGCACTTTGGAACTTTTCAATCAAAACTGAGGCATCCTCACAGATCGGCAAAAAGACTGGAAACATGCTATTACTCCTACAAGGATTGCTCAAATGTAAAGCTGTTTTATTTTACCTCCTCGTCATAAAAAGCTATCCGAAGCAGAAGTTGCTGAAGTCAAATAAATGCTAAAAATATAAATGCAGGAAAAAACCCTTCTCCTTATGGAACGCAGTGTGATGCTATGAGTCAAATTACCACAGTGAGTTAGGTATATATTTTAAGCAGACTTAGGTACCAAGAAAGATTTCTGTCAGTCCATGAAATATCCATTACTCTTTCAAGGAGCTGTTCCCCAAACTCCCCATGCAAGGACTGACTCTTACTACCTCAAAACTGTGATTTGATTTAATTTTTAACTTACACAGAGAAACACAAATGAATACTACATAACAAATAGTACAATTATGCTTTGTCCTAAAAATTTATCTGAGCAAAACATCTAGAAAGGCACCTTAACAAAAGTCTTTCCCAAAGGGAAATACAATATATGGAAAGCCACCACCAGGGATGAAGTAGCAATAAAATTCTGTCATCCAATCGCTGAGGCTAAGCTATGGACAAATCTTAACCTTTTGCTGGTTGACAGCACTTGAAAGGAAAATAAAAGAAAACCATTAATTTACACTCAAGGATTGAATGTCATGATGATGACACTGATTCCACACATTCTGTCATCATGCTTACTCTAGATCACATCCCCTCCCTCTTGTACAATCCCACAGACCAAGACACTAGTCAAACTAAGATGGGAAGAACTTGTTATTGTGTGATTTTTCAGCAATAAAATTGTAGAAGTATCGTATTTGTTACCTGCATATTTATGAACAGCACTTTTAGAGGATATTGCCAATAAACGGGCACAATATAAAAAAGACTATGGTATATAAATATAACAATTCAAAAACTTAGTTGCCTGATTTTGTGTTGCACATAAGTCTGTACCAAACCTACAGATCTCTTCACTGTAATGATATAAAACCAGCAATGCTATATGTAAAGAAGTGGCTGTTTATTTAACGACTTGGTGGAAGGAGGAGAAATGGGGGAGGAAGTAAATGTACTCTTAACAGGAGATAGCTATCCTCTTTGGTGACATATACAGAGCTATTATTTGCTGTATTAACAGCAAAAATCTTCTAGAAATCCCAATGAACCTCAAAGCTAGAGGAAAACTAGGCAGCATCCAGATAACCTCTGAATTAACCTTATACTTCAAATTAAGACATGCAAAACAGTTCATAAGTTCCTTTTTCTTGCAAGCCTAGTTACCTGACTGTAGAAAAGCAGGATTTGAGACCTCAACCTTAAACTGACACCAAGCAATTAGCCTGACTGTCCCACCACTGGCAAAAAAAAAAAAAAAAAAAAAAACCCAAAAAAAAAAAAAACCCCAAAAAAAAAAAAAAAAGAGTTTATCAGGGGAAAAAAGGACTTTTGACTGATTCATACAGGACAATTCCTCAAGTCTAAGGTTTCAGAAGACTGAGGAGGGAGGAAACCAATCCCCTCCATTTTGCTATTAGTTTTATCTCCTCAATTTACTACTGTTTTTCTCCTCTGTTAGCCCTTAGGAATATCTCTACAATAGCCTCCATTTTCATAGATCAAGAATGAAAAGGGACTTTATGGTCATTTAACCTGACACTGAATTCATTCAGCAGTTCTAGTGGTAAGCTTTACTTTATGGCATAATTATACCCAAATAAATAGCTTTCAAAGTTATACAAGTGTAAATTTCTCTATAAATTTTAAATATTATTATTGCACTTTAGTAATAATGACACACATTAATATAAAAATTCCACTTTAATTCACCTCTACCGAAACAAAAATCCCACTGAATCAGAGTACCTATTCATAGCATTGGATAAATTTGTAAGTAAAGTTATTATAGAGTTTTTCCAAAAAAATTGTTTTTATTGTGTTTATTTAAATAGCTTAAACTTCAAAATATTATGTCTTTTTACTCATATATTTAAGGTTTTAAATAGTAATATGAAGCAACAATTTTATATTATGGCTCCAACAAAGATTAAAATCTCTTTCTTCTATTCTTTAGCAACGTATGGATTATGTAAGCCCTACTCAAATAGTTTAGCTATTTTTTTTTATATCTATCTATCTATCTATATATATATATAAAAGGCTTACCATGTAAAAGTAGGATAGACAGCAGCAGATTGTCCAAAACACCGACCCAGTTTTCACAGACTTCACCTTTAAAAATAACCAAGTATTTATGAATGACAAAAAGATACTGGACAATATTCCAAAAATTTCATTCCAAAACAACTGTCAAGAGAACATCTTTAGCACATACCAAATTATATTTCTAAGCTTTTGAACTGATGTCTATAAAACCAAACTACAAGAGCAATTCATTCACACACAAACCAGCTTATACCTATCTCTATAGTTAAAGCAGAGACAGGATGCAATGCAACTCTCTGCTTTGTGATCTGAGTAGTAAAGCAGTTACAGCACCTCTGTGCTACTTTCTCTAAGACATTGCACCACTTTATAATTTTAAGTGTAGACTATCCACGGCTTACTTTGGCTGGCACCAGACCCAACTCCACAATTATAGATGAAAGACCTATTCTGTAATTTTGAAAAACTCACTTAACGTTAATGAGAGCATCCAGATACTACTAAAGGTTTAGTGGGATCCATGAACTGGCCCAGGAGTATGATTTTGTCCAAAACTGATGGTGGTGATTGTGGTGTGGGAAAATAGGAATGAAAAAACGACATTAAATAAAGCTAGAAAGTTATCTATAAAATGTATTTGATTCACACACAATTCTAAAAGAGTTCATGCAAACATTATTGCACAATGCAGTTAAGTATGAGTTCCGTAAGAACAGATAACTGCTATCATGTCTCAGTTGTTATAAAGCAACAACATAGGTTGATTCTATTATTGTTATCAAACACACTATACCTTTACAGCTGCAGTTTATTCTAAGACGAGATTTAAAAAACCTGCATTTAAGTAACACCAGTCACTCAGGCATGAAAAATTTGAAATCCCTTCCATTACACTCCTACCAACAACATCCCAAGTTTGAAATACTCTGAAGCTAAAAAACTTGTGAGTATGCATCTGCTTATGAAAAGCAGAACTCTTGACAAAATCATGGGAGAAGCTGTAATGACCAAGTACATACATGGAGACACTAAAGATGAAAAGTATATTCATCCAAGGAACGCACAAGGGACAGAACCATCTATGCTGAATTAACAATATAATTATGCTATTTGTGATATTTCCAAAACAGATGCAACAGTCCAGAAAAACTCCAGCTTGCCTAAACTCCTTCATACAAAACTGCATTACAGATGCAATTCTACATAAAGACTAAGGAGTGACAGACAAGCTGCAGTAGTAAATAGGCTAATTAGAAGACATCAGACTATTTTTTTTAAGTATGCAATCAGTATCAACATCTTGCTTTGGACAGAGCAAGGTATTTAATGTTGCTCTGTTGGGTATTTAATTTGGATGCTTAAGTCAAACCCCATATCCTCCATACAGTCAACAGGTTCTCCAGAAGACAATTCAAAGCACTTTATATTCAGATAATATATCACTAGCTAAATAAGGAGGCTAAAGTTTGATGCTCACGTAATACTAATACTTCCAAACTGAAAAACAGAAACAACCCTTCTGTTTGCTTTAAATTTATACTTACCATCATTACTATTATTACTATTACTACTACAGGGGACACATACTTCAGTTGAACAGTACTTTTACATAGCAAACTAAAGAGCATGATTATGGAGTGGTTCAGATCATGTGACTTCTCAGTACTTGCCTGATCAAAAGCCAAGGGGAAGAGGGATGAGAGGGAAGAAAATAAGAATTCAATGGATTCTAAGAAAAATCAGTCATTTGGTTGGAGGAGGAACCAAAAAACCTTTCCAAAGCAAAAGACTCAGCAATTACTTACCCATAAATAGTATGTGAACTGCAGTGCAAAAATAGCTATGCCTTCATTGTCAAATGATCCTGCTACTGATCGGGATATGTAACCTGGAACTATGGCAATAAAACAGGCAGCTAAAAGCCCGGCTCCCTGGTTCCACAGTTCTCTGGTAAGCAGGAAAGTAGAAATAGCTGTAAGGCCGCTAAAAACTGGTGCTAGGAACACACATACATCTCTTATATGGACTGTCACATTAAGCATATTTAAAATCCAATGTATAAGGCCTGCTGTCACCATCAGTCCTGGGTATACCTAAAGGAGGGGGAAAAAAACCCACTAGGTTACTGCAGAAAATGATCATGGTAAGGTTACTTGCATATAATTTGCAACAAAACAGTCATTTCTTAAGCTGATATAAGCAGTGTGCAGGTAAAGCTAATGGAATTATTTTAATACTATTTTAATCATGTTTTGACAACACTGCTGAATATCAGAGCTTCTTTAAATATTATCCAAATGCTAACAATTACATACAATCCATTTTGCAAATGAATAAGCAGCACACAGATAATATCTTGTCTTGCCTGACATCTATCATATAATGAGAAGAATCTGTCATTAAGGTATGGAAGCAGAAGCTAAAGTTTGCAAGAGAATTTCAAGCCAGCTAACAGGTTTAAGAAAAGAACAAAGCCAAAATTCCTAAACCAACAAGAAACCCAATCAAATTTCCCAGGCCTATCCATTTTCCTTCAAAATACCGTTCCACTCTTTTAATTCTTGTTACCCATGGAGAAAGAAAATGTGCATCAACAGGCTTTTTTTTTTTTAAGCTGACAAGCTGACAGTCAGTTGACTATTATATATTTGCAATACATCTGTAGATATCTTTGGATATAAAGGATTAAAATAAAGTCCTATAAAATTGAATTAAGATCTTCTCCAGGAAAGGTAGCATAGGCTTACATGAATCTATTGAACCCATCATAGAATATTGGAGAACATTAAAATATGCTTAATAGGAATTCTACCCTCCCACATTTATCAACATTAGAAAAATCAATATGTACTAGAAAAGTTAATATGTACTTCACCTGTCTTAGTTTCTTTCAAAAGCTAAGAAGGGTGTTGTACTAAGTGAAATTAACAGACAATGGAACATTCCCCTGCATATATCCTTGAGACATGGTTTTCAAGATAAACTATTAAAGCATAGTATGCCACGCGACTTGCAAAATAATGTATGCAATCAACATTTCAATTCTATTTCCCAAGGGATTTTACTTCATATAAGACAGGAATGGAAAAAACACAAATATATGTTACATAAAAATAGTCTCAAGTATCTCTAAGATACTAAACCAAATGGCGATCTAATTGTTACAATGAAGTTCGGAGATGCATTTAAATGATATGTACTATAACTTGTATCGACACTAATCTTACCTACTCCTCATGCTTCATACAGATGTCCCACTGATATAGTTTCAAAAGATCTTTTCCTAGTGAAATCCTAACATTTTCCATACACACATGAAGTCCACTCAAGATATACCACAGGATTAAAACTTGTGCCTTAAGAGATTTAGATAACTGTTTTTTTAAAAAAAGAACAATTTTTTTTTTTGCTTTTTTCATTTCATGTACCAGAATTACAGGAGTCATAATACCCTTATTTATTACTATTAGAAGTTCATATGTGAGGAAGTAAAACTCGGTTCTGTATTTCTTGTTCACAGTATGCTGTTCAATAAAGACTAAATCATGTTGTCTTACTGTCTTAGCTCCTGCAGCTAAAAATTAAAAACATCTTGCTATTTCCTCTGCAGCAATTTGACAATTAAAAGCATAGTTTGTTAAGATTCTCCTTTTATCAATGTCAAATTAGTATTGAAAGTGGAAAAAAAAAAAAACCACTTACTGCAAAGTAATCTTTAAGTTATTATTACAATACTTACAGTTCCACCTACTATTCTTCCCAGTGGATACCATGCTCTTTCATCAAACCAATTTAAAAATTCATAAAACCCATGGGATGCAAGATGATGTGTTGATCTATAGTTAAACCTAGAAGAAGAGGGGGGGGGGGGGAGAAGATAAAAAAAAAATCAAGAACCAAAGTTTTAAGCATACCTTAAGTCATCTCTTTTCTAAGACTTAGAAAGTAAACTTTAGCACTTCATTTAGTATATAGGTACAATGGTCCTCTCTAAATCTATAGAGTTTTAAAGTAAATTACTAGGCTCTCAGTTACTAACCACTATATTTTCTTCATTTCTACAGCCAGTAGAAAATCATCCACAGATTAAATGTAACAATTTGGGGGTTTTTTTTTTGTAAACATTAAGAAGTTTTCTATCACTCTGACAAACACTCCTGTCATTTTCTGCATTCCTTTTTAAAGGTAGTTTTCAAATGTAGTCTGTCAACCAATTATTTACCATATCCAGAACACCACTTAAGCAGAATTAAGATCATGGAAGAATCAATGCAAGACTCCCATTCTGAGACATGATAGCTACCCAGTACATCTGCTGCTGTCTATTTGTTCATACTATTGAACTAACGGCCTTGACATATTCATTTCTTTCAATCAATAAGAATCTACAAAACGTAGAATCTATGTAGATGAAGCTTCAACTTCAAAGTTTGTACATTCTCTGGTGCAGAAAATTCCTTGTAGAACAAAAGCCCTCCCATGCATACCTTCAGTTCAGTCTTCCACATTGCCCATATACCATTAAAAACATTGATGGATTGCAATCAAGGCATTAATTTTCCACTTTTCTGGCATATAATTTTTCCAACCTCTCAAACTTCAGATAGCAAAACCTTTCAACTATCACCAATTCCATTAATTCTTCAAATTAGGTATCAGACTGCTATGAGAATAACTGCAGTGCATGTTACCCCAAACTGCAACTTCTACATGATCGTTATTCAAAAGCCAAACTAACAAGGCTACAGGTATTGATGCTGTAAAGTCTTGTAAACAAAGTTTAGGCTTAGAAAAACCTGAGTGAACATCACTTCAGAAACAAGAAGCTTCCACAAACCCAACCCTCTAATAGATATTCTAACTGGAATTTAGATAACAATTCATTAAAGAAGTATTAAAGATTATATTCATTAATTAAGTAGAAGTTCAGATGATTAAATAGAATACTGTAACAGACAACAGGCTAGATGAGCAAGCCACCATGAAAGACTTCCAAAGACAGTTAGTATTCAAGACTAGAAAAGCTCATGTGTATTTTTCATTTTGTCTATTTTATGAAAGTATCCACTTACATCAGTAACAGGCATCACTTCTAACATAAATTTTAACACTACATCAAATTCTTTTGTATATCTAGGATTCCCAAAATATCACAGGTTTACTTTGAACTAATTAATTTCAACAGAATAAATCTAATGTCACTCAAGACTGTAAGATTCATCAAGTTCCTACTTGTTTAATCAGTACAAGTCTAATATCTAGAGTACAACCACACAGAGTTCACGAGTAGATTTCTTCATCTACACAGTGAAAAAACAAAAAGAATTGAAATTCAAGTCCATATGTCAACAAACTTGCATATTTCCACTGACCGAACTACCACAGCATCAGTCAAGTGACATTAAAAACAAGTAAATAAACAAAAAAGAGTGCGCAGTATTTTCAGGAACACTCTCTTACATGTTAAATAAGCAGTTATATAGGGTACATTAACTGTTAAAACTGTGGACTTTCAGAAGTAGTCCTGTTTACATAAGAAATTTCACATAAACAGCAGTCATTCTGACCTAGAAATCTTTGTATCAAACAGCAATGTGACATTTGTTTCTAATAAGCCTGCAACTATTCCCATTTGACTAGATTTCTAAATAGTAATTAATTCTCCAGTTCTGAACTGTCAACTATAATGTGATTTATGGAATGCTGTACCTGTAAAATTAGCCTCTTATCTTAGTATAGCAAGGTCTATTGTTAATTTGTTTAGTGCCAAGTGCCTGCAGTATGGTAGGAGACAAAGCAGGAGCTTCATGTAGCACGGGACGCATACAATCCAGCCAGCTATGGACCGGACTTAAAATGCACTGAAAACCCAGCCAATGTTGTTATCCTAGAACTTTAAAAAGGAAACAAGAAAGATTACTTTCAAATTTTTAAATCATGACTCAAACTCACAGAGGCTACAAAAGTATGACTAATGTTTACTTTCAGAGCATTAAAAGATTAAGAATATATATTGACATTCTCCTCATGTTTTGAACTACTAAAGCTTCATAACTGACTTCAGAAGGATGCGAACAACTGTCTTGTGCTTTGGCAGCATCCATCAAGTCTTTAATAAGAATGAATTACCACCCCAAATTGAAATGCAACATAACAGCATTCTACTTCTACCACTTAAGAGGTACGAATTTCATCTTCCCTCCTATTAACCCCTTCTTTCAAAAAGCGATTGATTCTATTGCCACAAGTGAAAGCATGCAGAGACAGCTGAGCATATCTTTACAGCAGAAATTATTAGCAATACTATAGATACATTAATTTTTCACTGTGAGAAGACCTATACGTGAGAACAAGAAATAACCTTCTGACCACAGAAACCTAAAAAAACTATTCAGAAGCTTAACTATAGCACCTCACTTTGACTTTAAAAAAAAAGTGCTCACTTCACATCCCACTAGGTAACCTGCAAACAAAGTAAGTTAAAATGTAAATATAAACATATGCATAGCTAAGGAGAAGCACAATGAGTAGTGCTGCATATCAAAGCCAGCTTCAAGCATTGACACTGGCAGCAATGGGCAGTGCACCAGACAACAGCATGGCCTAGCAATCACATGATGCTAGTAACATGCTTCGATACCACTTGCCCACTTCATAGTGCTCTATTCCTTTAGCCTGAACCTTGTAAAACTCTTGCCCTTTTGGCCGTTACGGAGAGAGCCAATAATGAACAGTATCGCATTGCAAACCGTAGTCGCACAACCTTCTTACTATCTTGGTACTTTTCAAACTGTGTTTGGAACCCTACACAGTAGTATGGTATTTCTACAGCAGTACTGTCACAGTATCTACAAATATCTATAGGTTTCATAGGGGTGTAAAACAGCCCTGGGAAATATCAGAAAAAACCCCACTGCTACCTATGCCTGCATCCTGGAGATGAGGGGCAGCAGCTGAAGGAGGAATCTGAATGGAGACAAGAACAGCCAGTGCTGGGTAGGGGTTACATTTCAGGCTTGGGTGTCACTGCCTTCCCCAGTTCTTCCATCTCCAGCAGCAGCAACAATAGGTGATATTTATGGGTTTTAGCCAATCCTCTTTCTGACTGGCTAGACGTTAGTCAAGGAGACACAGGATTGGAGTAGGCTGCTAGATACGGTGACTAAACTGGATGCAGTACTACATGACAGGACCAGACTGAAGCAAAGGATCCCTCTTCTCCGACCCTCAACCCTCACACCTATCTGATCTTGAGGTATGGGAACCATTCACCCATCTCCCCAGATTCCCTCTCATCCTCCCTCATCCCTCTGAGGCACATCAATTTGAGACAGACCTGAGAAGAGTAAAGAAAAAAATTACATGAAGCACATGCCTAAATAAGAACTTAGCTTGAAAGACTGAGATGAATATTCAAGTTCTCAGCCCATGTTGTGAAGATACACACTTGTAACATTCATCAGAGAAGAGCTCTTAAGGACCTGACTGACTAACACCAGTAAGCGTTGACTTTTCTTATTTTAGCTGACGTTCTAGGAGGAAAAGTGATGCTCTGCTGTTCTCCTTGCCTCTTTCTGTCAGGTCTATAGCTTGAACTGTCTCCTCCTCTGAGCTAAGCTTTAAAGGAATCATCAAATAATCCTACATCTTTGTACATTTCAGAATTCGAAGTCCCAACCACCAAATTAGGCTGGTATTGTAATCTGAACCTTCTGGGGGTGCTCTGATGATCACGAAAGCATTCTACGCATGGTACCATTAATTTCGTAGCACTATTGGAGATACCTGCATCAGTTGGTTCAGTAGAAAACTGAAGATGAGTTAATAAAGATATGGTTTTCATTTTCAAAGCATATTTAATTTCAACATATAACAGAGCTCAAGCAGCAACAGCAAAGCAACTGAGCACAGGCATATTTTTTTTTTCTTTTAATTTGGAAAGTTTAACTAGGCAATTTGCAAAATAAAGTCTGCAAAGTTTTCAGTTATATGTTATGTACTGTTACTACTTAACCTTAACTATCTGTTCATGCTTGAGTTTGATTTTTATTCCACTGTATGAACTGCTTTTTTGATGACACAAGGTAAAGCTGTAAGATGATTAGTTAATGCTATTCACAGCAATCACTTGCTCTATCCAGGAACTATAGAATTCTCCAGCACTTCCCAGGAACAATTACTGCTATATTTATAAGGAGACATCTTTGGCTTTCACATTCCTAAGTTTAGTATTTCCTTGACAAAAGTACTATTTAAGATGAACATTCAAAGAAAATTCAGCCTACTGGGAAAGTAAGAACATATAGGAAAAGAGCACATGTACAGTCCCTTCACCGAGATCCTAACAACATTTAAGGCAAATTACACTGATGGCGATGGAATTACTCTGACCATCCCAATACAACAGAGCACAAATATCTGAGTGTTGTTTCTTGTAGGAATGTTGTTGACTGTCTAAAACCCTATCAATTTCATGCTACTATCGCGCCATCATCTACATCTTCTCTCTGGCATTTTATAGCCATCTGAGAATATGTAATCTCCTTACTAGAAGGATCTGTTGAAAATTTTCTAGGCCTGCAATTATAAAGGCTTCTGTGCTCCAAAAGTCTTCAGCTGCAGATGCACAAAATTTTCACATCTGCAAATTCAGAAAAATGACATGATACAAACTAACTGTGAACACTACAAGCTATCTGAGCAATTCTAGGAGTCAGTTTTTAATGCAAATGTAGATTACAGAATCAATTCTGGCATACAGCATCTAATTAGAGATGGCAAATCCAGATTCTTGAAAAAGGCAGTCGCAGATTGAATCCATATCCAACATACTCTTTGCATCC